ATATGATTTGGATTTCATTCTTTGGAGAATGTGAGAAATCCATAAATTCAGTTGGAAGTAATTCAAAGAACAGGCAATTCAAACCAAATTACCCTCAAATTTGATCACTGGCACAAATAGCAACGAAGAAAATGAGTGAAATCACACGACTTCGTACTTTATAAGCCTGGCAGGTGATCAGGCTGCACTTGATTCCCCACCAGACTCAGGACTTTTCCTAATGTTTGCATTAAAGTTAGTGTTAGTGTTAGTGCATATGAATTATTAGTAATGTCCTCCAACAACATACATTACCTTGTGATATTTTCCTGTTAATTTAAAAGAATTTACTCAAAAACATAACATGATGTTTCCTTCCTACATCTGCTACTTCTAGTCCCATTTCTGATTCACATCATTGCAAAAACACTAAATCTCACCAAGTATTTTTGGTCTACTTGTAGAAAATATCTTACAACATTGAAATAAAATAAAACTAACTTAAAAGTGACTTTTCAGCAAGAGATAAGAGCTTATTTCAAGTAAATATTACTTGTTCCATTGGCAGATTATTTCCCTTATAATATGATATTAAGAACATATCTTGCTGAAAGGCTACTTGTAAGTTAGCTTTATTTCTAGTGTACTAAGACATGGTTCTTTAAAAAATGAAGGGTCCACTCATGGTTTTTCCACCAAATATTAATTTCTGAACTCTTCCTGAGTTAAAACATTAATATTGTTGTTTCTAAATGAATATGAACTTGTTTTCTTTGCATTAGTTGAGGTCTGAAGGCACTGCAATCTTTTGTTTTTTGTAGTTTTTATTTTCTATAAATAAAAACTACATATTGCTTTCAGAGACATGTTGTCAATAGTTCATAGAATAAAAAAACAATCAAACACATAAAAAGTAAATCAGAAAAACAAATCATTTTAAGTGGTCTCTTAGTTTTTTCCAGAGCTGCATTTGCAGATTTTGTTGTTGTCGTCTAAACTGAGGAACTGCCGTTCCCCCCAACCGCAGGGCAATAGATCGACTATCAATTGATCGATGGAGTCAATACGTCTTCTAGCATCCAACTAGCTGCGCCACAGACTGAACAACACGTTCTGCTGCTGAGGAGTCTTTCAACAAACTCACACACGTTAGCATTCAGCTTGGGGCTTTGGAGCGGATCCTGAAAACGTAGGAACCTGTTGGAACAGCTCTGCTCAAGTATATTCATCATCTCTTAACAGTATCAGATGTTTTCCCCTCACAGAGGTCCAGACGGAGGCTGCTGTTTGTTTTACAAGTGACATGTTGGGGAATGTTTACCGGATCGAACCGTTTTAGGAAGCGGAGAGTGATCAGAAAATAGAAAAGATGAATGGAGCTACATAGAGGACAAGAACTGCTGTACAAGTTTACCTTAAGGTATCTAAAAATATTATTTAGAAGAAGGAAAGAGGCTAAAAAATCCTGACCCTGATTTATATCAGAGCATAATGATGGATAGAGTGGCCTAATTAAAATCTGGACCTACTTCCAGTTGGGAAGACTTGGAAACTGATGTGCATAGATGGTCCAATCGGAGGGAAATTGAGCTAATTTCCAAATTAGAACAGGCAAAAAAATGTAAAGTCTACATGCAAAAAGCTGGTTTAGTTCTTCCCCAAAAGTCTTGCAGCTTCTGAGAGAAACTAGGCGACAGTGTTTACTTTTTCATGGGGATCCAGAACAAATGAATGAATAAAAAAATTACAGAAAGATATTTTATTAATATATTAAATGAGCCACAGAGGCAAAGAGTTACATGTTGCTCTGGAGCTGAAGCTAAAACTGCCACACCTTAATTTTTTATGCAATCATATGAAAAAAAATCATATTTATCAAAAGGAACAAATTAGTTATGATTTCTGTGTCAAAGCATATCGTCATAACAAATTGATTTAATATTCTCTCGAGTTCAGAACCAGTTCTATGGGGGCACTGGCCCCGGTTGGCCCCCATCTAGGACCGCCCATGCCTGGAGGAGTTTTAATTGGAGCCATTAAAATTGAGCATTTTTTCCCAACATTTCCTTCTTAACCAATACACAAGCAAATCCTTCCAAAATCTAAACACTCCTGGTGTTAAAGAAACTCACTCCCCAGCCGACATATTCCCATGCAGTCCCCTCCCATCTCTGTCTGTTTAACAATTCCTGCGGCGAAACATCACAGACACAGTCATGAGAATGTTCTCTGCCGGATTGTGAGGACGTCCCTGCCTCAAGCAATGTGATGCTTTGTCAGCCGAGACTCTGATGAAGTCCCAGCAGCGAGACACTGAGATCAGACCCACCAAAAGAGAAACATTAGCATTCTGGAGCAAATGCAAGTCCCAGACGCTGCGGCGTGAATAAGACATGATGAATAATAAAGGACGTCTGTGTTAAATCCTGTTATGTGTTCAAATTAGACACACATACAAAGAATCTACGATCAAGAGGAAGTGAGCCAAGTGGGTCAGTTAACCTCGTGTTTCTCAACAATCCATTCATCTCAACACTTGAAGGAAGCCTGCTGGGAAAAGCTCAAGTTCAGTAAGGAACGCTAACATTGGTGCTAATGGTTAGCATATAATGCTATTAAAATGTCAAATGTCTGAATTACTTGTTTAAAACAGTTAAGCTATGTTTCAGTTTTACGTCATGTCATTATATTATCCCCTTACCAAAAACACACATGGAGAGTTTTAACTCTTTCATGCAAGTTTGAGGAATTACTTAATCCCCATGGGAACCAATCAGTTGTAGAAAACGTCTGGGTGGTCCTAGCCCTCCCCCCCACTCAGCTCCTTCAGACTAGCAATTAGCAATTAGCAAACACCTGGTGGAACTGGTGAGCTCTTTACAGGAGCGGTAAAAACATTGCTAAAGATTTCATAGAGAAGCCATGTTGGGATGACTTCCTGAAGGTGGAGTTTCAGAAAAAGTGCCAGTTTTTAAAGAGACAGAGGCCCAATTTTCAGGTAGTGAATCAGAAAGTAAAATATCTTTGTTAAGTCATATTCGATATTGATAACAAGTGAAGGTAACAATCACTTGATTAGACTATAAAACGGCACAATGTGGCTGGAAAACATGTAACGCTGCATCTTTAAGGAAAAATGTCTCTCACACACACAGTGTGACATCATCAAGAAGTGATGATCAACTTCATTCTTTGACCTAGAAGGAGGTCAATATTGATCTATTTCTAAGCTATTAATGATCAGAAGGCCAAGGTAAATAATCTAAGTGCTTTTCAATCAGACTTTATTAAATTTCTGCTGTCAGGTCAAAGATTTACAAAAAATGGAAACCGTCAAAAATCTCTAATTTTTTTCTTCCAGTTGCCAAAATTAGCATAAATGACGTCATGTCTTATTAAATGTTGTGTGGGAGTCTGTCTGCTGACGCTGTGATGCTGTTACTAATCAGACTGACTCGAAAGCAGATGTTCATCCAAAACAGAGCATGAGTCAGCAAATGTTAGAAAGGAAACAAACGCACCCAGACAACCAACAAGGCCTTCATAGGTGGAACTCGATTCTAGAAAAAAAATAAAGAATGACAACCGACTGGATGTCATCCATTCTTACAACGAAACACGGTGGTGGCAGCGTCATGCTTGGAGAATGAAGAATAAATGACAGAAAAGAGAAACAAGACAAAAGACAAAGAAAAAAGACAGGAAGGAAGAAAGAAAGACAAGAAACAGAAAGAAAGGAAAACAGAAAAGATAAAGAATCAAGAGAAACAACACAAGGAAGAACAAAAGAAAAAAGAAAAAAAGGCAGGAAGATAAAAAAGGAAAAACATAAATAAAAGACAGAATGGAAGGAAAAGAGAAGAAGAGAAAGAGAGACAGAAAGAGAAAGGCTGAGAAAACAAGAGAGTAAAAGACAAGTAAAGAGAGAATACTACTGAGAAAGATATGAAATTATTATTATTCAATTTCAGAGAGTTAATCTCAGAAAGAATTTAATTTCAGTGAAGAAAAGGAAGAATTTCTTTCCACTGCTGAGCTCATGAAGGCCAAACTACTTCAGAAACATCCCTGGATCTGAAAGTCGGTTTACTTTGGCTGAGTGAGAGGAAAGTTTAGAAAAACCATCACATGAGGAGCAATTATCACTCAAACAGTCACAACAACGTCAGTGTAACTGATCTAAGATTCAGGATAAGAGGATTATTATCAGCAGCAACAAAACTGGGTCAGCTTAAACTCTGACTGAACTGAAATAGAAACACACTTTTGATTTATAAAAGCTTTTCCCCTCATCCATCAAACCTGAATGTGTCTCAGTAGCAGCACTTTAAAGGTTGAAAACAGGACAGACGAGCAGCTGAGGTTTGCAGAGCTGCTGTTGTTGGACTGAGGTTGTTTGTAGCCCTGCAGTGAAAGTCGCGTCTCAACACGCCGGCCAAGGCGCTGCTCTCTGATCCACCTGTCAGCTGGCTTTCATCTCAGTCCAAGCGACACAATCTGATCCAGATTTTAAGTTTAAACACAAGTAGTTACTATCTGCCAATCCCAAACTCCCAGAATCCTACCTTAACCGTGTCCTGTACCAAGTAATCCATTACATAATCCATCATTTGCGCCTGCAGACGTCCGCATGATTTCAGGGTTTTTCTATTAGACTGAAAATAAAAAGCTGCGGTTACGGCTTGGCCGGGTCCATTATACAGGGGTTCTAACGGGTCGCCTGGTGTCACACTGACCCGGTTCCTGCAGCCAAACCCAGAATCTGCTGAGTCCACAAACAGGATCAAGGAGATTTCTGCTATCAGCCGAGGCGGCGTTCTGCCTCCGGATCCCGTTTGTCTGCTCCAGACTTCCTGTTGGGTTCACCGGAAAGTGGACCGGCCCGACGCACCAGATGGTCCGTCGCAGCCCGACTTTCCCTCCAGCTCATTTAACCCATAAATCTCCTCAAATCCCCTCCCAATCAGAGCAGCCGACTCATTCAGCTTACAGCGGCTGGTGGGTGAACGGCGCCGTCTTACCTGGACCTGCTCGCCCCGCAGCGAAGAATCGCCCAGCAGCGGCTCGGCGGGCGGCGTGTTGATGGTGACGGACTTCTCCGAACGACTGTCTTTGCTGCGTGACTTGTGCCGGTCCCGACTTCGCTCCCTGGAAGAAAAACAAAAGGATCTTATTGGGCCCCATCATTCCTCTTGTTTCACTCCATCTGTGTGACCTTTAACCCCGATGAGTAAGAATAAGAACGTGAGAAGCAAAGCAGATCCTAACAACAATGAGAGAAATTCAATTTAAATTTATTTTTTTATTGGTAATTTCAACATTTTTATGGTGAAATGCGGCAGAAAGTACCGTGCCTCACTGATAGGGGGCAGTGCTGAGCCCAACAGACACAACAAGCAACAGGCGCTCTTCTTCTATGCATTTAAAAAGTACAACAAAACCATTCCAGGCTGCTCTCTTTGGCTGCCAGATTTCACAACTATTTTATCTTTTTATGAGAAGCTTCAATTAGATATTAGTTATAATTAAAATAGAGTTTCTGGTGGAATCTGAGCGTCTCTAGTCACTAATCCAGCGTAGATTATGAACGACAGGTAACCTGATCCCCACGTGGCCCGATTCCCCCACTCACTTCTTTTGCTTATAAACAGCAGCTCTAAAAACTGACATAATGTCACTGCTGGTTCTGATTTTTCTACAGAATAATAATAATACAAGTCAAACTTTTAGTTGGGATTTATTTTTTCTAGGCTTTCTTTGTCTTTACTTTAAAACTTTAACAATTTTATCATTCTATTCCTAAACAGCAATTGTAAAGACAAAGAAAAACAACAATTATGAATAAAAACAAGTGCATAAGTAAGATACTATGAGTGTTGGGTAAATCGGAATAAATATAATTACAAAAGTGATGATGCGCTACTGTGTGATGCTTATGGTTTTTTCTACGGTGGCCTTGAGGCTCAAACCACTTCAACAAATCAATACATCTACAAATTACAAAAACATAGTAACATTTAGTGTGATTAATATTTGTGGCCACCGTTATAACAGAAGTCTGATTCTGGTAGCATTTAATTATTGTCGAAGTTTGAACAACTGCAAAAAGCAAAAGAAGAGAAATTGGATTTGAGAAAATCAGAAATGAGAAAGTGAACGTAGCCTAGCTTACCATCAAATCTGTGAAAGCCTGTGCAGCCATTACTGTGGTCAAAGTTGAAAAACCCATTAAAATAATCAGATCTGCTGCCTGTAAACAACAACCATCAAATAAAACCTCTAACGGATTCTCCAAAGCAGAGGATATCCTGGCTGCAGGGGAGAGCGGAGGAAGCCGGCTGATTGACAGCAGTGGAAACACAACAGTTCACCAGAGCCGCTCTGGATGCGACTCCAGGGCGTTTCCAGCCCCTCTTCCTGCACTTCCTTTAGAATACGCTCCTGGTTTCCTACAGAAAGTCTCAGCCGCTGCTATACGTTCACACAGAGAGACAGAAAGAAAAAGGGAGCAGAGTCTGAACAGCCTGCAGCTGAAGACTGACATGATGGAAGCCTTTTAATACGTTACCACCATCATTATTACTTTAGATATTATTACAACTGCACTAATCACTGCGGTGACGGGTAAACTGGAGGGAGAGATCATCAGTCAAACTCTGGCACTGATTATGCTGATTAATTGGAGCTGTGGAAGAAGCAGCAGCAGCGTTCGCTGGAGACTTCAAAGTCTTTATGAAAATCAGGAGAAACGCTGTAGCTCTGTAGGAAGGAGCGACACGCTGGGGAACATCAGGAAGGAGCGACAGAGGAGAATCAGGGAGGAGGAAGTGACAGAAGAGACTTCAAAACACCCGAGTCAGAGGATTCAACTTGGCCTTCTGTGTGCAACTGATCGATAAAAGTCGCCACATCTTCAGAATGAAGTCTTTTATAAAAAAAACTTCATATACACATGGAGCCTATATTTGCACACTTATAGCTAAACTATAGATTAGCTAATCTAACACTGCTGTGGTAGGATAGCTCATTTAAGCACCTGCTCTACTGATGATGTGTCACAGTTGATGTATTTAAGTCGTCTTTTTTTATTTTGTAACTGAACTGAAACACACCAAATTCCACAGCACATCCACATGCTAAGGTTGTCATAGTCAAGCTAGCATAACTGAGCTACTTCCCTTCCCCTCGCTATTTTTCTTTTCTGAATTAAAAAATTTTCTTGACCTTGTTATTTAGTTGCTGTAGTGTTGGCAATCAGTAGCAAAGCATTCTGTCCCTTTTTCATTTATACATTATGCGTACATTTAAGATTTGGCATGTACTGTTGGCAACTTATCAGCTACAACCAATGCTAGTTATTGTTAGCGAGCAGCTTCTTGCCTCCAGCAGGAAGATGGAGGTGGGATCTTGTGCACGTGTAACATCACTCTGCAACGGGTCTACAGTTTGGCCTTCAAGCATAATGTTTCAGATATGATTTGAACAGCAGGACACAGCTTAACGTCAGGTAATTTTTCCATTGATGAGTTATTTATTAAAATGACTCATCTGATAAAAACACCCTGTTCTGCCTAAAGAATCTGCCACACCGTCTCCACTGCCCATATTCATTTCTTCTACAAGATCACCTCTCCACCACCTTTCCCACAGCCTCATCAGCATGCAGCTGGCTGCTATGGTTTGCCACCATGCCGAGCTTCCGTTTGATTAATAGATTCTGACTTTTCGGCATGGATCCCGGAAATGACTGTGGCTTCTTGGAAAGGTAAAAGCGGAAGAATTAGAGAAGGGACTTTGTGAGAGCTGGAAAAAGCTGGCAAACTGGGGAAGAAGCATCACTTCCTCCACCATCCGAGGCCGACTCCTGAAATAGCGCGGCCAACCAGGGTGACATGCCAGACTCTCTGTGGACCAAAATGTCCATCTCTTCTTCTCTGGTATTGCAACCAAGACACCTGCAAGCCAGAACTGGAGGGCAACACAATCATCTAAACTCATGCATTTGAGTAAATCTGAATGGAAACTTTGGAAATAATGGCACTTTCTCTCTTCTTTATTTTTAAAGATCTAGGTTTTAATCCTAGAAATGTTCTTCAGGTAGTAGAAGGTGGACTTTGTAACTGTCTTTATGTGTCCCTTGAAGGTTCAGGTCACATTTCAGACCCAATCTTTAGTGTCCAGCTGTGATAACTAAAACTCAGAGATGATGTAGATCATTCCTTCAATTTTGTTTATCTTTTGATTTGTTGTAAGCAACAGTTCAGTGTTTAGATGTAGAGCTGTGTATCATCTGCATAGTTATGGTAACTAATCTAATTTCTTGTTATAACTTGTTGTAGTTATTAAATATGAGGGATGCCAGGATTGGACTTTGTGGAACCCCATATGTGACTTATCTGATCAGATGAGATGTTACCCATCGATGCAAAGTAGTCCCTGTTCTTTAGGTATTGTCTTTAATTGAAGAAAGTTTTTAATTGAATTTGCTTCCAAACTAAAAATCAACATTTAGCTTTTAAAAGCTGGTTCTCCTCAGCCTGCATGTTCCTTTACAGCTGCAGATGCAAATTAGCCACATTGACCCGGCCCCATCTCAACACTGAGTGCTGCTCTGTAAATTGGACCAATACCAATGAAATGAACCAATTTTCCACATGAGCAGCTGCTAATATGAGATGTTCAACTAACCAACCATTTAAAGATTCACTACTGAAAGGAGGAAAGGACCTAAATTAGCTTTGTAGCTTTTGTTATGCTCCAAATAAAAGGTTGTGGTTGTAAAAAGACAAAATACAGAAAAACTTTAACATCCAAAGGCACCAAAGAGAAAAAAAGAGACAAAGCAGCTTGTATTTGTCAGGATCCGGCATCAGAGTAATTAGAGAGAAACAATCTGGGGTGTAAAGAGATTACCTTCGAAGAGCTATGAAAGGAAACAATCTAGGTTTTGTTTATGAACTGAGGGGACAGCCGGTGGTTTTGGCACCGGGAGGAAGAACAGAGGAGAGAGAAGAGAGGAGAGCGGTGGAGCCTGGATGTGGGGCCCAGATGCTGCTTCCCAATGTTCAGGTGAGACTACGGCCACCTTCAGAGGAAATGCAAGTGACACACCTGCACCAAAGTTATTATAGTTCACTAAAACCAGCGAAATAACAAAAACTTGAAAAAATATTTTAATTAATTGGTAATTAATGGGGAGAAAGTATAACTAACTGGATCTAAAACATACTGAAATCATAAACATTTTTGTGTTTATGAATCCATTTATCAGCCTTTTGAACTGATGTGAAATTATTTTTTCTCTACATATTCTCCATATTCCACCATTTAAGCTAATCTGCAAAACGGCGACAGCGAAAGAAAACGCCAGAGTCAAATACGTTCTTCAACAATAATTGATCATATATTATCTATATATTTTAATGCCATCATCTGTTGAGTATTCGCTACCTTATCAATGTAAACATAATCACAATACTTTCATCTGTTTGAATTCTGCAAAAAAATTAACTAAAATACAAAATAATAAAACTACTAATATAACAGATAAAAACTGAACCAAAACTACACAATATTTGAACAATAATAGCTATAAAACACGGAAAAAACTGAGTAAAGCAAGCTGAATTTGACAAAAACATGGAGAAGCAGCATTCAGCTTCTACGCACCATTAATCTGAAAAATGCAGAACAGCTGAAACTCTGACTTCCTATAAATCCATTGCTTTTGAAACATTAATATTAGTATTTTTTTGTGTATTTTTATGATTTAATCGATTGGAAAGTCACAACAAAGTAAAACTAAACTATCATGAAAAACCCAAAACCTCTAGAACCCGGTCTTGTCCTGCTGAACGTGGCAGGAGATTCAGGAGGAAGAGGAGCTGCAGGCGACATGAGAGGCAACAGGTGGCAGCGGGACAGAGAGAGAAGCAGGGCGGCATGTGACAGACAACCCGGTAGCGCCGTCAGTCAGTGAGGCCTCCTCCACACCTGTCCTCCCTGCTCCCCCCACCAAACCTGTCAACCACGTCCAGAGAGGAGGAGAAGAAACTCTGGCTGGTTGATCATCAAGAACGTCTTGGTTTTATCTCTGGTTCTCGACCGGTTGGCCTGCTTAGTCATTACACTGCAAAACACTAAATCTTACCAAATATTTTTGTCTTTGTACACTTGAAGTCAGACAAAACTGACTTACAAGTAACTTTCCAGCAAGATATAGGAGGAAATAATTTAATATTGATGAAAAACTTGTTCCTGTTGCAGGTTATTTCTCCTACAACATGGGAAACATGTCTTGTTAAAAGTGAAATAATCTGCTAATGGAACGGGTATTTTATTGAATCACTTTTGAACCATAATAGGGGTTTAAAAGCCAATTTATCAGCACTGATTTCCTTACTTTTGGGAAATCAGTGCTGATCGGTCGATACTTAGATGTGAAGCAGATATTTTCTACCTCAGTAAAGGTCTAAACTCAAACGCTGTCATTTTCTCTTCTCCAGTGAGAGGCTGAGACTGTTAGCCGCAGCCATCAGGTCATATCTGCACGGTTGCTGTCAATAATAGTCGCCCAGCTGTTGCAAGTCCATCGACTTTCTCGCTATATTTAGCGACACAACAAAAATAAAACTGAAGAAATGTGGATTTTTGTTCTCATCAATAATAAATAATCACTTCTCAACAACATCAGCTTCTCTGGAGGTAAATAATTAACCAGCAGGATTAAGTCTTACCCGTGCCTGTGGGATCCCCGGGAGCGCCCGGAGTAATGGGAATAGCCGGAGTAGGTGGACTCCGTATCCATGGCAACGCGGAGGCCGATCCGCTGCACCGCTGGCAGACGCGGCGGATCCCGGCGCCCTCGTCTCGTTAGGCTCCGAGGCGATCGATCGGGCCGCTCAGGAGGCCGGCGGAGAGCCGGCGGCGGCGGTCAGGCTGGAAAGCGACCCTGCGGGCGCCCGCTGCGGAAACATCAACCTGCAGAGAGGGAAAACCGGGACGGGGGACATTTCAATTCACAATGCGAGAAGAATCCGTCAGAGGCTAAAGGAGGCGAGGAGGAGGAAACGGCGTCCGATGGGAGTAAAGATGAAATCAGGCATTCGACTCACATCCGTCCACATCACGACTGTTTGTTCCCCCTCATGCTAAATGCTAGGATGTTGCTCTGCAGCTGCATTATCAATCAGCGTTTCCCGTTCTGGCAGAAATGTTACAGCAGCTCCAGCTGAGAACTTCAGATAAAATAAACACTTGAAGAGAAAAGAAAAGTTCCTGCAATTCAAGCAAACGATCAGGATCAACAGAGAACTATATGAATAATCTAAGGCACAACTTCACTGCAGCAACTCCGTCAAGTCTATATTCTAGATATGAAGCACCTGTTGTTTTCTGTGCTGTCGTAGTTCTGCTGTAGTTCACTTCCTGTTTTTGGAGTTCACTTTAATGGAACCGATACAGACTTTTCACAACAGTTCGATTCTGAATTCATGCTTCCACAAACAAACAACACTTTCTTGACAAACAAGTGAAAGTTCGACCGGTGTGAATTCATCTGATGAGGAAAAGCTGAATCAGTGCGAAGATACCAAACAGTTAAATCAACTTACCCAACACTAGAAAGAAAGGTTCAGGAAAAGTTATGCCAGAACCTTCATTGTAACGATAAAACATTACAAAACACAAATGGTCTAAATCTCCAGCAGTACCTAGACAGCCGAATCTGCAGAAGTCCCACTGCAGCTTTAAACAACTCAGAATCAAAGCAAAGCCTTAAATCTGCTCCACATTGTGTTCAAAACTACGTTAAGGGCTGCTCTGGCTTTGGTGCAATCAGAGGAAGTGGGGAACCTTGATTTGTAAATCACTGAGATAAGCTTGAGAGCTGGGAAGAGGTGTTCGAGTGGCGCATTTGGCTCAGGGTCAAATTTAACAGCATATTTCTGAGGGATGGCAAAGCGTGAGTCACAGATACCTTGAGGCAGGCTTTGATGTAGTGAGGGCGCGGGAAGCACATGCACACATAATCACAGCCTCTCACTGCACTGAGGTAGTTAAAACCCAACCAGAATAAGAACCCAATGCTGTTTCTGCAGAGATTTGCCTTCCTTCGGCTGCAGCCTGGAGTTAGTCCCACGATTAGTCCCAAAAACAAACCTTTGTCAGTCAGTGGAGGGAGATTGGGTTAAGATTCTGGTGCAGGTTCTGATATTTGAGTCACTCTGTGTGCGCCGCTCTCATGGTTGTCACAGGGCTTTGAGGATTGTGTAACTGCATATTGGGATCCTTCTACTTGTAAATCATTTTAACTACCTGATTCAAGCTCACATGTTTAAAAATCCATCCTCAACTGGTTCTTGACTGGGGATCCCAGAGAGTCCAGCTCAGAGCTTCATACAGCAGCAGTTTGGGTTCAGGGCGAGAAAAAAGGATCAGTCCAGAGAAAATATCTGGCTATGATCTTAAGTTACTGGTAATTGGACTGAATTTGTATATTCTGTCTCGTCATGCACTCGAGTTTGCCAAAGACTATCATACATTCTTACACCAACATGCAGATTTTTAGTGCCATGAAATGGCAGCTGGAATTAAAAATATGGCTTTTTAATTGCCAAATGAAAACTCTTCCCAGAGTCCATGGTTTGGTGTGAAAGTTTAAGCCAATTGTCAAAGCAATTTCCAAAATAAACATCTGATTTAATCCTTTTAAAAGCAAGAACACGGCACTAAATGAGGGATTATGCAGGTTAAATGAGTGTAGGATCATGTTTCAACAAGAGCAGTTTGTATAAAAGCTGGTTCTGTATCTGCCACGATGAATTTCCTGAGCTGAAAGCATCTTCGATGCTTCAACTCGTTCTGGAAATGGCAACGCAGTGAGATCTGGCTGTGAGCTTCACACCGGAGTGTAACAGGATACAGCAGCGATCTCACATGTGGTCTGGTCAGTGAAACCTCTTCAAGTTGGTGAATCAGGAGTTGAAAAGGGAATCTCCTTGTCCTGGAACCAACCCAGGCCCCCCGCTGAGCTGCAGGAGCGTAGCGCCAGCAGCGTGTGAAGCAGAGATGTCAAACTCAGTTTCATTTTGGGCCGTATTAAAAATGTGAATGTTCTGTGATTTGTTGAAAAACTGGAGTGAATTATTGATGTAATTTGGAGTCTAGAGGGCCACATAAATAGCTCTCATGGGCCAGATTTGGCCCCCGGGCCTCAAGTTTAACAAATGTGGTGTAGCGGAAAAAGAGACCAACAAAATGATTGGTCAGATATCAAGCTTGAGCGATGCTGCTGGATCTTACTGGTGTTATAAAAATGTTGAAACACTTAATTACGCCCTACTTTAATCACAACGTTCGGCTCAAGATCCTGGGTAAAATGTTTTCTCTCACCTTCTGAAAAGCTTCCACTAACAGAAGGTTAGTGAGAGGAAATACTTTCATCTTGAGAGGGAAAACAACACCAGAGCCACGGGCAATCTGCTGTCAGCCACCGTAAACCAACAGTCCTGCACAACTTCACTTTACGAATAAAAGCAGCTGGCAGGCTCCGATTAGAGCGGCTCAAGTGGATTCATGTAACTGCCTTCACCTTACACCTCAACATGCTGGCAAACTGTCATGAAACTTCAATCAAACAGAATTAGTCTGACTACTTTTACTGCTGCAACGAGAGATAAGGATCTTCTCCGGCTTGTTCAAACCAACTGACCTGAAGATAAGTGGAGTTGGAGACTAATCCGACTGACACATGATTGTAGTTGTTAGTTTTTCCTCTCCTGTGTCGGATGTGTGACACGGTGGGGAAGCTTGTCAGACTTAATGATTAGAGAAATATGGAAGCAGAATGTTTCAAACTGATAATCTGGTCACATTCACCCCCCCAAAAAACACAAAAAACAACAAAAACAGTGAAACGTGGAGACTATGGCTGAGCCGATTAATGACGATTAATCAATCATTGAATTAACTGTCAAATAGTTTAGCAATCAATTAATCAATAGTATGAAGTATAAAGACTCAAACAATTGCTATTTACAGAGCAGTAATGAAGCAAAAACTGTGCAAAGATAATACAATTAGTTTCTTTAGCTGCAGAAGCATCTGTTGCTGCAAATGATCAATGAATGCTAGAATGTTATTGCATTTTAGGCTATAAAATGTTTATTTAATTCATTAAAAATGGAATTTAATTATTTGTTTGTTTGCATATTTTTATATATTTCTAATCTTGCAGATAACAGTTAGGTGGCTCAATAAAAAAAAAGTGCAGAATTATTTTATTCAGTTAATCATTTCATCCTCAGAATAATCAATTAATGAAATGATAGTTTGATGCTGCCCTACTGCAGACTTCTATCAGACATTTTTGGATTGAAATAAATCTGAAGCAGATCTTGAGAAGTGACTGACTTCTAACACAAATCTTTGCAGCACTTTTAATGATTTTTACATTAAAAAGAAAGTGAAGAGTTTCTCAAGGGATTTTCAGTGTTGGACCAAATAGTTGTTGGGTGTTTTTGGTTGAAATGCTCTTTACGACAGACTCAAGCTGCAAACTCTCTGGAATGAAGAACCGGTTTGATCATCCTGTAAAGAAAACTCCAATTATGACTTTTTATGCTTTCGCAACAAATTACAGCAGAACCTTTCTCTCCAGAAGACCTCTTCTTCTAATCAAAATCAAATATGACAAAAGCAGCAAATGAACCAAGAAGTTAGTGAAACTCAAACATTCTTGTTATTTTAAATGTGCCTGGCAGCACTCCAGACTGAGCTGATTGGGACTAATTTATGAGGATGACCTTTAAGAAATCGTTCCGGGAAAACTCCAGGAGGCACAAGGCTCGGTCACACCCTGCTGGACTTACTGACCCACACTCCCTTTACAGGCTGGACAGGACATGCAGCGCTCACCCTGCAGTGCAGGTCACGTGATCGGGAGTCACAGAACCGTGGAGGTTGACCCGGTCCTAAACCTCTGACTGTGGAGGAGTCACAGAAAGGACAGGAAAAGGAGACCGGATCCTCCGATGGACAGTGGCAAATTAGGAATCCAACGAACCAGATGAGAGCCAATCACCCGTTCAAAGAAATGATGGATCAATTTGGACCTGATGGATCAGGTTAACAACTGAGAATCTGTGTGATCAACCAACATAAAGTTGTGCAAAACTATAGAGAGACAAAAAGTGTCAAAGTGTGGGATTACTTTAAACAATATAGAAAAATAACATAAAATTGGCATTTTACAACAAGATGTCTTTGAAGGCCTCAAAGGGAAACATCCAGTACGCATCAAGCAAAACACTAACACTGGTCAGACTCTATTCGAATGTGACCCAGGCCACCTGGATATCCGATCTTCTCAAATGTGACCTGAATGTCCAGGTCGTATTCTTCCAACCGGAAAGTCATTGATATTGGACAAATGTCTCGACTCCTGATGCACACAGGTGGGAAGAAAGACAACCATAACAGACTATAATCAAGATTAAGTTGTTAATATGACGCTCCAATCGGAAAACAACTTCTAAATCGTAAGCTATGCTCCACCGTTAGCATCCACGTTTACTTAAGCTAACACTGAGCGCTACATCTTTTTTATGGTGGTTGGCAAAACACTGAGCGCGATCTCTACGTGTGACGGTTCTGCGTCCTCTACTGCGTATGCGGGACACTTTCAGCTCTCACTGGAGAACCAAACTAAAACGATCCAATCTGATACAAAACAGGAATGGGTCACTTGAGGCTGGCTTAGTTGATCCCATCACCGGAGCTTGAGAGGTTGAGCGGCTGCAGTCTTTCCTCTGCCTTCATCTCCCAGAATGCTGTGCGGTTCTGGTTCTGGTGAAATTATTGAACGTTCTATCAGATGTATGATCTATAAATATTGATATTGCGTTTATGAAACAAACTCTCAGATCAAATGCAGTTTCTAGTTGTGGGAAGCTGGTAAATGATTGAAAAATATCTCCTGTAGTTATTGACTGGTGTAATAATTAGGACCTGATGTGAGAAAATACTCCAAGCTCCCAGCATGCAGTTCATTTGCCTGTCTCAGTGACAGCTCTCCCTCGCACCTCCTGCCCCCATAACACCCTCATAGCGCTGCCTCTATTATCGCAGCGATGACACAGGACACAACCAGCACATGCAAAAAAAACGCCTTCACTGCAGCGAATGGGGTGGACTGTAACTCACCAATGGCAGCGGTCACAAGACATGCCAGGACGAGTCACTGTGGAAGTCCTGACCCGGTCACATGCTCGACGGGACGCTGAGGTAATGAAGGCCGCCGATTCTGTGGAATTCAATCAACATTCTCCAGTGTCACCGGATTAAAAGAAGCCAAACAGAGCCGGGGCCCAAACTGGATACTCCCAATCCACATCTGACCAGTTAGCCCTGTTCCTTATCATGCACCTGTGCTAATGTTAATTACAGATCACTATCAAGTCCCGTCTGCGGCGAGCAAAAGCCATGTCACGGCGACTCGGTCCAAACCCGATGCTCCATTCACAGTCAGCCTCGACCTGTTGCATTTTTCAGCCGTTACTAGGCAACTAGTGAGTGCTGATCCTTGCTCAGAGGTCGGATGTTGATGACTGCATGAGCGAGTGCTTAAGATAAAACACTCGCTTAAAAGAGAAAATTTATTTCCTCTTTTAATAGCAAATATATTAAATTGCCAGCAAAAGAAATTAAACTCAAGAGCAATAAAAAGGCAGCGTAATTGAATTATGAAGTGCCAATCACATGAAGGGCGATGGGCTGATTGTCCAACTCCATCCACACATTCACTCACTTTTATCAGACAATAAAAGAGTCTTGAAAGATTTTAGGTTAAAAAAAAGATTAACAAAATCAATTATAATCCGTCAATCTCTTCTGAAGACAACTGGCTGCACTGAATCCTGCTTGAGGGCTTCAGAGTGAAAAGGGACTGAATATATTTACACTTGTAAATATATTCAGAAAGAAAAAACAGAAAATCCTGTGCCACATTTAGATCAGCTTCTTTTATCCAGCTTCATCCGATCACTAACGGGTTTCTAAGTGATGGTTTTTGATTCGTTAGGTCTGCATGTGGTTTGTGTGACTAAACTCAAACATTTTGGATAATTTAGGTCAGTTGATGATTCACAAAGGAGGAGAATAACTTCTATACAGAGCACTAGCCCAGCAGTTAGGTTTGGATCTCCCATTTATAAATGACGTAATCATTTAAAAACTGCTTTACTTAGATTAAAACTAGATTTAGGAAGGGGTAATACTTCCACAGCACTGGATAACCCTAAAGATTTGAAGCAATACAAATTAAATAAGGACTATATTAGTGACTTTTCTGCTACTTAGAAAGAACACTTGTTGCATTACTCTTTATATGAACAAAATTATAACTAAATCCATTGAGAATGTGACCCTGTTGTGTGGTTATAAATTATAGGTGAGTTCTGTGGATTTTAGAGAGTTGAACTGCCTGACCCGGGCAGGTTCACCCTGCGTTAGCCGACCTGTGACCCGGCGGCGGGCGAACCTGCCGGCAGGAAACTCCCCGGTTCCACCGTGGCCTCCGGTACCCCTCCGCCGCCCCCACCGTCACCTCCTTCGCGGTTTCTCCCACCACAAACATGTTTGTTTCCCTCTTTATAACACCAAAACTATTCCACACCACATTGCCGTGTTTAAATTGTTTTTAGAGCTGCTCTTCGGGAACTAGGAGGTCTATATTGCGTGAGTTAGCGCCAACTCCGCCGCCGCAGGTTACAGTTAACGGCAGCGCTGCGGCGCGCCAGCCGGGCTTATGCGGATCCATTCAACCTGCAGAAGAAGCTCTGTTCTCCACTTTTCCTCTACTGTTAACACTTTCTCCCCGATCCAGAAGCTGGAAACCTGCATATGTGTCAGCAAGACATTCAACAATGTGTCTCAGTGTGAATAAACGGGGTTAACCGCCGCTGTGTCCCAGTTTCAGGCATTTCCATGAAGTTGAAAGCGTTTCCTTTCACACAGGTAGGAAAACACAGCCAGGGCGTGTTCCTGCAAAAACACTCTGAGCCCAAATTCACCCTAATGTGATGTTAGCACAAGCAGCCAGTCGAGCTATCCCGCATCTATAAACGCGTTTAGTACATTTATAACATTGCACATCTGCAGCAACACGCCTGACAGCAAAGCAGCTGCTATAAAAACATAAAAACACAACTCACCCCTTATCGGCGGAGATGTGACGTCAGGGCCGTAAGTGAACATTTGTCCAGTGGTTGTAAAAGCAGTTGTCGGTGAGGTGCAGGAGGAAGCAGCCCGTGGAAACCAGGAATCACCAGGCAGGCAGGAATTTCACAGGGGGCAGAGCTTCACGGGAACGCGGGGGGCTGCAGTGCCACGGCATGGCGGTAGGGGGCGTTTCAGGGACACGCCAACCTGAGCTGGGAAAGAACCAGTTACATTTAATTAATTAATTACTTAACTTTTACTGGAGTGATTTCATTATCATGTAGTATTTCTACTCTTACTTGAGTAAAATCTTTGGATTTTCTACCCACTGAATGAAAAACAAACATGTTTTAACCAGACATAGAAACACACCTGCAGTTTTTAAGGTTTTATGTTTCATTTGCATTATATAGACTTTGGGTACTGAATTATTTAGATTATGCAATTTTTAAACATTAAATGATTGATGTTTTTACCAAATACTTTTCTAATTTTACTTGAATAAAAATGTCCACCTCTGAATTTATTTTTACAGGATGTTAGAATAACTAATAAAAACTGAATGATGCGTAACAAATAATAAGTAATAAAAATGAGCAAACACACTCTAAAAACTAACTAAAAATCACAACAAAGTAAAACTAAACTCTAATACAAAGATAAATGCATTCCAAGGAACAGCATCTTAATAGCAACAATCCACACGTATCATGTTTTCGTCACAGTCCATGAGGCAGAATAAAGCAAACAGTTGACACTCGCTCCACGGCAGCACAACAAAGAGTTGAGCGATAACAATCTGCCTCGGACTCAGTCACTGAAAGAGACACAATGAAGCCAGCGAGGCCTTCAGGCAGCCTCTTAAAACAGAGCGCTAACACATTAGTCTTTATTTTACACAGCAGAAAAATGATCCAAAACACACCAGTAGTTCCTCAGAATGACAAAAAAAAAAAAAAACTAAGATTTTGGAATGGCCTAGTCAAAGTTCAGACTTAAAACCAACTGAGATGATGATTACTTTAATCTGACTATTTATGTCAATATTTTTGCTTGATTTTTCCAGCTAGTAAAGATAAACAGCAAACTGTACTTATTGTTAGTAGACTAATTAAGTCGCTGTTTTTAGTTAACTTTTTTTTTAGCTTTTTTGTTGTTATTGAATACTTTGCTTCTGCCAAACTAAATCCTGAAGATTGTGCAAGAGTCGACTACAAATCTGACGTTTTTTCATTTCTCATGTTTCTCTTCTTCTTTATAATAAATAAATGAATCTCAGGCTGTTTATAAAACACAAGGCAGCAGACGCCTCCAGCTTTTACATGCCTGTATAAAAATCCATTTTTTCTCCTTTGAACTGCCTCTTTACCATTACTGACAAGCAAACACGTCAATACATCTGATCTCCTGCAACACAGTGGAGGTCCTGACTGGAACATGACCCCTGACCTTCCATGTTTATATTCCCAAGAGGTCACCCGTCTGATATAAAGGATGAAAGATTTGCTTCCATATTAGAACTATTTGTGTTTAACTTGTTTAACTTTCTCTTCAAAATCTGAGTAATTATTAACATATTAAAATTATACATTGCTATTTTATTAGCTCTGACATGTGGTTCAATATAATTATTTTTGAAGCGTCTTTTAACCGTTTATCCTGATGTTATACTTAAACATTAATCACTTTTATTAAAGTACATTTAAAAAACTGGTTGCATTTTCCTTTATTTCAAAGTTTTTCAGCTGATAAACACACCAATTTGAAATAATGAAGTAAAATACGAGAAAATATAAACATTTGAGTATTTTCTTCCATAGGTACATTTTAAAAACGGGTTTAAATATAACTAAATTTATCAAATATCTTTAAGTTCCTAAAGTTACACAATTTGAACTCAGAAACAGATTAAAATATACTGTGGAAATGAGGCAAATTGGGCAATTTTATTTGTTACATTATTGCTCTTGTTACATTATTGCTTAAATTGTAACAATTTAAGCAAATTGTTACAAGAGTAATAATTTCTATCAACTTGTTACTCTTGTTACAATTCTTCCCCATGTTCACAGTAAAGTTCATCAGTATTTATGGAGCATGTTTTCTTAGTTTATCATTGTTTTAAGTGTTTAACAATAGCGATGCCACATGACAGTTGGCTCTGCTGCTTTCCAAAGGATGCTAGTTTAAGATTAGAGTGCCACCATGTGGCAAGAGTCCCCCATTGCATCAGAGGCGCAGATGGCTCATGTTGAGATGGTGAGGCGCTGCCCGCCCCCCCTCCGGAGATCAATTCGATTTGGTGTCCTGAAGATGGATGGATCCCCCCTCGACGACGTGGAGTTTATGAGTTTAGCGGGTTTTTGGGTAAATAGGGGAGAAAAATGAAAGCGTGTAAAAATGAAGACGAAGTGGGAAGAGATGGAGTTTATGAGACCCCACGCATACATGCAGAGGGAGGGGGGCCACAGCTGGTTTTCACATCACGCAGGGCCGAGCCAAGCCTTTTTGGGGCCCGAAGCAGAATATCATTTGGGCCCTCCATACCAACATATCAATATCAAACTTTTTCATTTTCTGAAGCTAATCTTCAATTACAAATGACCCTAGTTAATTTTTTAAACCAGTGTTAATTTGTCTATGAATTTTAACCTTACAGGAAAAGCTAACTAAAAAAAAAACTAAACGTATTTTGCGTCCCAGAATGGTTTTTAATAGTACCATTTTTAAACATCAGCTAAACAATAATTTACAGTAGTTTGATGTCAAATTTCCGCAAAAAGTGGCAACATCAGAAGATTAATCCTCTATTTATGTACCAACTGTTAAAATATTTAGAAATAATTTTCCATGTGTTATACCATTGAGTTTTATTATATACATATATTTTTTTATGCTCGCTTGGGGGCCTAAGCAGTCGCTTAACTCGATATTCCTGTGTATATGTCAGCATGTTTTTAAGTTTTAGCGACAGTTTCATGTTCTACAAATGTTTCTCCAACAGTTTGACTTTCAAACTTATGTCACACTTTTAAACAAATTCTCTGTTGAAGCAACGTGGTTAAATTTGCATCCTTATTTTTATGTAAAGTCTTTTTTTTTTCTTGTTTCTGAATTAAAATAGTAAATAGTGTAACAGGTCACAACGATTCACCGACCACTGAACATCTAAATTACTATGCTATATAAAATGTGATTAATTTTAATGGTTAGCGTTTAATACCTTTCAAGATGATGCATTTTGAAACAGCTCTTCCTCTATGCCTGACTAACTGGTTCCGGATCCTGGCTGGACGCGTGTTGTCCTCTGGGACTGAAAACAGGGACATCAGGATGCTGAATAAACTCCCTTTCTGACTCATGGTGACTCGCATCCAGTGGGATTTCCTCAACAAAGCCAACAATTGGATTTAAAAAAAAATCTTAACCAAATTGAAACCTAATGAATATCTGGGTTCTAACTCTCCAGATTGGGCCGTGCGCCGGGTCCTCATGCGTGTGCACACACCTTATGACAGAGCCCTGCGATACAGATGGTCAGAGCGTGAGGCTGAATGAGAGGGGGACCATCCGCGGCTGCTGACGCATTGTGGGGGACGTCTTCTTCAATGCAGCACTTAATGAGAACAGACTGACTCTTTCTCCCCTCCACCTCCCGATTCCCCCACTTCTTCCCTCCTCTGCCCATTTCCATCTGTTTGGAGACAAAGGGCCACGAGCCAGCTCGAGCCCCGGGACCCTGCTGGTGAAGTAGGCAGGGATAATACGGCCCATCCCGCGGGCTGCATTTCAACACATGGACCTGGCTTTGTACTTCTGCAGCACAAACACCCTTCAGACTGAAAGGCACACACCGGGGCCGGAGCGCCAGAGAAGGGAAACAGAGTTGCGATGTTGACGGGGGACTTCTCGCCTGCTTGGGCGACGTAGAGAATAAAGGAGAGGGCAGAAACACAAAAAGCCCCGAATGTTGTCGCTCGTACTGCGAACATATGGCTGTTTGTTGTCATACTCTTTCTCCCTGTCCAATTTACACAGAGCACTCAGGATCAAATGAGCGTGGATCAATGTGTGTGCGCTCTCCTCCAGGCTTTGAGTGGGCCTGTACCTGAATGATTATGAGGAGAAGGATGTCCAAATGCTGCTAATGGCCGACGTATAATCCCCTGCCGTCTGCACACACCTCCTGACATATGGTCAGTCCTCTGCCTCCACCATTACATAAGCCACACCGCGCAGACAGGGTGGGGTAGCGGGGTGGAAACGTGCTACTTTCTCACACACACACACACACACACACACACACACACACACACACACACACACACACACACACACACACACACACACACACACACACACACACACACACACACACACACACACACGCACACACACACACACACACACACAGAGGCCACACTGTCAGCCAGGCTGTTCAGCGCCCTCAGTGCTCTGGGCTTCGCCTGTCACTTTTCTTTCTGAGGGTCTTTCTAAAGAATAAATTGAAGAGTACCGATGCTACGGAAGCTTCTGGGATGAACGGCACAAATGGGCCTGGTGCTGCTCCATCGCAGCGTACAGATGGACCCGTCCATTCAATAAGCTCGAGCAGAAGTCTGTCTACCCCGCCATGCCAGAATCACAGCGCTTGTTTTGTGTTCTGAAGAGGACAAGCTGTTGATAAAACATACTGGTTTTCCTTTCTCTTTGACAGAAGTCGCCTAAAATCCAGAGCCTGTCAGGTCGGAACAATGGGCCTGTAAAATCTGGTTCATACTAATTAAACACAAAAACATGAGGAAGGAGGTTACAAAGAAGCAGACGATAATGGAAGCAGGAGAACATCTTATAAACGTTCCTAAAAAACCTAAACAATAATCTGCCTTTCTAGTGGTCTGGGAACATCTTCAGTAGTTTTCACATCTAGAGACCAGAGAGAGAAAAACAGTCCTAATATTTCTGTAGATCACAATATTAAAAGAGCTTCAAACTAATTTCCTCCAACTTTTAACTGTTGTTTATGTGAGGCAGCAGCCATATTTAACTTTGAAGTTGGGATTTCTTACTGCATGGGTCATTTCAACTTTGAGTAATACTGCTACCAGCACTGAGGTTTTTCAGCACTCCGAAATTCATCATCTTACAAGAGGTTTAATATTTCACAAGATCAAATTGGTTTCCTGGTTTTGCTTTAGCACTACTGCCCAGCAAGTGCTCACAGCAGGCGTTGCAACAGAAAATGGTAAAAGTCGAAGAAAGCCAGGCAGACGAGTGACAAACCATCAGACACAAACCAGGACTGCGGAGCCACAGATACATTTGAACTTTGCCCTTTTTATCCTGTGACCCTGAAATAAAGTTCAGCACAACAGAGAAGTTGCGACGCACGTCAGAGGTTACATGTTTCTCAATCTCTGTGTAAATCTCTGTGAAACTACAACATCATGTAAAAACGATTGTCCAATGAAACCGGGGTTCTCCAACCTGTGGCTCTGGACCCACATGTGGCCCTTTAGGTCAAATTGGCTCCATACGACTTTGGTCAGTCATGTAGAATTGACCAAATGCTTTGATATATATATATAAAGGAAATAAAATTATATATTATCTAAAGAATTTCAGCAAGAAATTCACAAATATGATTTGATTCAGATTTTTTAATGTGAGTCTTTAGTGTGAAGCTAAGTAGGTTTATTTCAGAGTATTTCTTCATTCTCAGTTAATCTTTTTGTTTTTGAGTTATGTTTTTATTTTTCTGTTCTAAATTTTACATTTTACAATTCCACTTTGTAAATATTTTTAAACTTAACCTATTTTTTGAGAACATTTATGGATGGATGTAGTTTTAATCCCATATTTTGTCATATTATGCATTCTGTTGCATTAAGGCAGCCTGTGGCATTTCCACGGTTGAAGGTTCAGCTCCCACTGGGCCACCCAAGCTTCACAAAAAAAGGTTGAACTCCTGGTAATCCGATGTAGTTTGGATAAAAGCATTCACACATCCCTTTCAGTCTAACTCAAACCTTTCCTGGCACAATCGATGAGAATAGGCGTGTAGATATCTTACAAATCATTATAAATATTTGGATCTTTGCAGCTCACACCATTTGGCAATATTACATCTCTGCTCGCTCTCTCATAAATTTCCATCTCTCCCATCCCTTCTTCCTCGCCGGGTTTCCCACGGGAGGTGCCAGACGGCCAGTAATTTGGTTGTCTTGGCTCGTCTGGAGTAACACCTGCCCCCTCTCTGGGGAGGCAGAGAGCCTTTCAGCCAGCAGCATATATATATGTAGCCTACCACTGCCTTTAGCTGCTGACCACTGAGTGTGGGTTTGTGTGTGCGGGTTTTCTTTCTTGCTGTGAATGTGTGTTTGGACAGTAGAGTGAACAAGGGGTGATGTCTCATAAGTATGCTAAAGTGTGAAGCACTTATTGCACCTTTCAGTGTGTGTGTTTGCACATCTTGGCGAATGTAAATGTGTTGGGCCAGACATTAGGAGGGTTTTGGGCTATTATTATCATCACATGTTCTGGTTTGGTGATTTATTGGTTTAAGATTTATAAAATGCAGGGTTTCCACTTGTGTATTATAAGCCTGGCGGGCCACCAGGCTTTGCTTGCCACCAGCCAGGCTAAACACTGCTTCTTATTTTATTTAAAGTCTTTTTATATAGCAGTAACAATGACACAAAAGATGGTTTACAGTTAAAACACTGAAGTGATGCAATTGATGTACCGTCCAAGACCGGCGCATCAATCACTCCGACCTTGTAGCATATAGTTGCGGACTTTTTGTAACCACCTTTCACTCACAGTGGTCTGTTTGGAAAGTCTTCCAGCTTCACCTGCATATGATTCCTCTCTGTCTTTTTGCACCAAGGAACCTTGACGCGTACACAAACCTCAAAGTGCAACTATAAAAGATTCGTTTTGCTTTTAGAGCTTCGCGCTCAAAGTGCAGAGACTGATGTGATAGCATGTATGTTTACAGTCAACTTTGAACATTTTCTAAGACAAAAACACAATGAGACGATGGTGGACTGCCCTAACGCCCCGACAATCAGGTTTAGCAAGTTTTCTGGAGGAAACTCTGTCACCACTTGAAAATAATAACACCAGAGACCCCTGTTGGACCAAACCGCTAACCTCAAATACAGCACAACCGAAATAAATCCCATCTGACAACATCAGGTGCTATTCGTAAAGCCTTAGACTTGAGTGACAACTTTTATACACAACAGTAGAAAACATGCAACAGTGTCTGACCTAAAAATAACATCACTCCAAGATTATATCCACAACTCATCCAAGAGGTCACAAAAACCCAAAAGACCATAAGCTTCATGAGAGCAACGTGACAAAAATGATATTCATAGTTTTTCTTGAGAAAAACATCAGAAAGGTCCATTTCACATTTTACAAAACCACGTTGATCATATCCAAGACTTTCCCAACAGTCAAACATGGTGGTGTGAGTGTCATGGTCTGAGCTGCTGCTCTGTTTGGGGGCCTGGATAACCAGCACTAAGAGGTGGAAACATGCATTTTGCTCACTACCTTAAACTTAACCAGATTTGGGTTATGAAGCAGAAAAAATGGTTCAAAACGCACCAATAAATCCAGGAGTTTTTTCATTGGCTAAAAAAACTCCCAACAAAATGAAGGCTTTGGTGTGGACGACTCAAAGATTGAACTTTTTTTCTGTTATGATCTATTAGTAGTTATCAGAAACAGCTGATGGCAGTAGCTGTTTGATTAATATGTACAAACTGCATTTTGTTTTTATTTTCCTGATTGAAGACATTTTTCAAGAAGGATGCCATGTTTATACGTAATGCTTTAGAAATGAACAATATAAAATTGTCATTAAAATTCTGTATTTTCATGAGAATCTTGATCTCCAAGTCCATTTATTGTTTGATTGTATGAAATAAACCTGAAAACGCTCACATCCTGTGAAGATGTGTGCGCATTTTATGAATTCTGTGGTTTATATTCTGGTTTTCTATGTTTGTAGTTCAGCAAAAGCCAGAATTATGATTAGAAAGGTAGAGCTCGTCAACTGACCTCGTTATCATTATTTAATATCAATACAGCTCATGTAAATCATAGTAAAGTAGTTTGCTAAAGTGTAGCACAAAAACCTTCATGCTATTTTCCAACAGTTCAATGAATTGGGATTTTACTTAAGCAAGTTAAAAATCGATATTTTCTGCCAGCAGGTTTGAATTGGCTGCCACTTATTCAGTCACTCATAAACAACAAAATATTGCAAATTTCAAAAGAAGGCATTCATAGCACCACTTACAGATATAAAGCAGATGTCCTGACTTAATACATTTGGATTTTTACGACAGATAGGCTGGGAGCCCCAATATTTGTCACTAATGGCTTACCATACAGCACGGTTGTCTCAGCTTAGCATGTTGTTAGCTTACGTATTTAATGGACTGAAATGTTTTAAATGTATTCCAACATAGGAAATGGAGTCTTTCTTTAGCATTTGTTTTTAATTAAAAATAACACCGGAAATATGAAAAAAGTCTGTCCATTAGAAACCAGCTGTCACACAATAACTCTACTAAAAAATCTGCATAAAGCAACAAGCCTACACAACCCTGAAGAGACAAAAAAATCTTTGGATAGAGGATATGTTTTTTTTCTCCTTTTGCTATAAAATTACTTATTGGAATTTTCAGGATACAAAGAAGAGACAAACAAATAAATGTTTTCTGAAATAAGAGCCTAACATCAGCACATCGAAGAGAGGAAATTCAGACTTTGTTTTTGGTCACAGCAAAAGAAGAGATTTCATTCTGGAAATCGCAACAGAACCTCTTGAGAGAAAAACTCGGCCAATCTGGAAACTGAATGACGTCCCAACACAACGTTTTAGGGAAGCAAATATCTACGGGGCCGTGGGGCCCCACAGTTCAAGTGCTCATCGTTGCCATCGATCCATAACAGACATTATCAAAGCAAAACAGGGAGACATCGAACATACATTAAAAGCAAACAGGAGATGCAGTGGATTAACAGAAAGTGCCATATTTCTTTTTTTTTTAAACAGGAAAACACCATTACTTACCACGTTCAATTTCACAGCCTAAAAATATATTGAATCAACAAACAATATACATTTATACAGAAAGAAAGATACACATAAATAAATTAGCAATAATATTAACGCAATTCAATAAATAAATAAATAAATAAATACACTTTAAAATGATTAAGGTCACAATTTTTCATGTCATAAGTAGCACTTGACGCGTTGAATTATTTTTTTCTTTCCTTTTACGGAAAACATCTTCTAAACTATAAGATCTAAAGCAGCTATCTTGTTTACATCCCTTCATTTTGATGTGAAAAATGCCCCCCACAGCCTGACACAGCGACTAAAGTCAAATTTGCTTCAAAAAAATTTTATGTTCTATTTCAAGCAGGAATTTAAAATTTTAAAATCATGTCCAGATTAAAGGTAGTTTAGCAACAGCGCTAATGCTAAAGTGAAAGTTGCTGGCAAGTGGAGTTTTGCAAACCTGAGGCAGTTGTAGTTTTCAGGGCAACTTTTAATTAGATCACCAAAATGATCTTAACAGCTAAATTAGAGTCTAACTTATGTGGTAAACATACATATTTCCCAACAGAAATACTGTTCAAATCTATTTACTATATAAATCCAAACAATTGCACCGATTTTATTTAACTTGTACAGTTTAGTTCAGTCAGAATTATGCATTATATTTGTATTGATTCCAGAGCTTAAAAGGCCTCGATATTCAGCTCTGGTCTCCCCATCACTCATCAAAGTCTGAGAGGAAATATTTATTATCTCACTGATTTTTTACAATTTAAAAAATACATAGTGAAAAAATGGATGGTTACATAATTGGTGTAAGATGATTTTCACACCTTTGAGTGGAAAACTGTGAAAACCACAAAAAGTTCTTTAAGATTGTAAATGTTCTACCACTGCAATAATTTATTTGAGGGGATATTAATTAAATTAATTCAACTTATGTGGTTTGAAATGTGATGTTTAATGAATTCAAACAGATTTTCTTCTTTGTATCCGTCCTGCATGCTGTGCAGACCCAGGAAGGTACCATGGAGTTATGGTTGCTTTAAAAATGTGTTTAATAAGTTAGTATTCAACAGTCAGAGTTGCTGGCAAGCTGAACTTTTTAACAGTGAGGCGGTTGCTGCCACATCTTAGCAGTTTTAACTTTGACAACCACCAGATTAGGCCAATTCATTTAATTATTTAGAATTTCAGTGTTTTCTGGTTTGCAAAGTGACAAATCAAGTGATAATAACTCTACCCGACTAAATTGTCCCTCCAATTTTATTGGTTGAATTCTCAGTGGTTTAGTCAGTGCAGCGTCTGCACAAAGCATCATCTGTGAAAGGCTGAGAAAATACTGCGCTCTGTAGAAATGTCCCACCGGTCCGCTCCCACTCAAACATCCAACACGTGGTTCAGGTAGGAGATGTAGCAAATAGCCAGTCTGAGGATCTCGATCTTGGAGAGTTTCTTGTCCGGGGGCAACGTGGGCAGCAGCTTGCGCAGCTCCGCGAAGGCCACGTTGAACGCCTCCACCCGGATCCGCTCCCGGGTTGCGTGCGCGGAGCGGTACTTGGCGGTGGCCCGCCGCCGCCTCCTCTTCTCCTCCCTGCTCAGCGGCTGCTCGGCTTTGCATTTGGCCCGCTGCTCCTCGCCCTCGGTCGGCTCGTCCGAGGTGCAGCCGGCCGACTTGAGGCCGTTGAGCATCGACTCCGGGTCGGACTGGGTCCACGACAGGTCCGCCTCGGCTTGATCCGGACTCAGCATCATTTTTACGCTGGGAGGGCTGGAGGGAGATCCTCCTGGAAAACCTACAGGAAACGGTGCAAAATGATCCACAAGAAGCTCAACACATAAAGCTCATTAAAACAGCTTCATATAGAAATGGATCAGCATGGAGGCCCCAGAGGAGAAATCTGTGAGCGGCCTCCATGCATCCATCATATCATAATAATATTTAAATTAGTGCGATGTTTTAGCATTTATTCTAAAAAGTAATCACTGTATTAATGCTGCAGAACATTTAGGAATCCAATTCTGACAGGATTCATGTCAGAATTACAGCAGAGTTTAGCAAAGCTTTCCCATCACTGTTTAACATGTGAAATAAATACATATTTAGAGTAAATTAAAGAGTCCAGTTTGTTTAAACTAAATGATCAAACACAAAAACAGGTTTGCTCAACTTTCACTTTTCACTCACATTTTGGCCTTTTTTAAACCAAAGGAAACAGTTTCTACTTTTATTCAAGCAAACTTTCCTCCTGTCTTGAAAATTTTTTTTTTAATGCTTTAGAAGCAAAAAATTAATTCAGAATTTTTTTTACTTATACACAATAAATAAAAGTTGAACTAAATACATTTTCATATTTAAAAGAGAAACACTTAACTTTAGGTGAAGAAATATGAGCCAAAAACTAAAAATGTATTTCTGATTTTCTTTAATTCAACTTGTGTTGATTTGATTTTTTTAGGAAGAAGCTGGCCATTTTCCCCCATGAATTAACATAATCAGAATTGGCCATCTGTCACAGTGTGATGAACACATCTGCTTCGCTAAGGCCGGAGCGACTTGACAGTAGATCTGATGGCAAAATAAACTAATAAACAAAACGCTAAAATAAAGCTGGTTATAAAATTACACAAATTTTCTAGCTAAAATAAATGCAACCTTTAAAAATGATTAACTTACCTAGAAAGAGAGTTGGGAGGCAATTTGGTTCTTCGTTTAATTAACGCAACTCCCAATTAACTCATATTCCACGAGCTGAACGAGCATCAGATGTGAGAGAGACGAGTTCAGGCTCAAGAAACGCAGAGACAAAGTACTTTTTTCACTTTTTCCTGATGGAAACTTGCATCACAGAACGCGTTGAAAACGGACCAGAAGTCTTCCAGGGATCAGTTCAGGAAATGTGCAGAAAAATGTGACAATTAAAAACAAACAAACCAAAAAAAAAAAAAAAGAAAAGGATTAGGGTGATGATAAGAGGGGATCAGCCGGTCCTCGGTTGGATTTCAGACAATAGATGAGCCGGGCTGATAGAGAGGCTACTGGTCCGTCCGCCTGTGGAAGATGGGGATGAAGAGGCTGGAGATAAGCGACACTCTTCCAGATCGCAGATAAATCCCCCCCGCCTCGTCGCTCTGATTCCTCCTCATCCGCCGCGCGTCATGTGGAAGATAAGATCCAAACGATCCTCACTAATAAAGGCTCACTTCATGGACGGAGGGGACGGAATATATTGGAGGAATGGGCATTGTCTAACGCCGCCTCCTCCCTCCAATCCTTCCTCCTCCTCTTCTTCCTCCTCCTCTCCTCACGCCCCTCGGCCCTCAAGCGCTCTGCCTCCCGTGGGAGTAGTGGGCAAAGGGAAGGCAGAGATGTGTGCATGATAAAGGATGGAGGGGGGAAAGAGAAGAGAAGAGAAAGAGAGGCATGTTGTGAGTTTGTGCACGTGTGCGTGTTTTTAGTGAATAGCAATGATTAAAAAATAGAAGCTGTTTTGTTTGAGATGCGAGCGGAGAGAGAGAGAGAGAGAGGGCAGCAAGGGGGCGTTGAAGGAGGGGGGTTAACTCAAATCTTTTTATCATGCATGTTGGCTTTATGCCCTAACATGTTCTAGAGAAAAAAGAACGAGAGAAGCAGGTAAAACTGCACGCTTGTTCGAAAAGCAGACACCTGTTGTGGCAGGTAAACCGGCTTTTCACAATATTTTATTTTCAGCTGCATGAGTGGAGAAAAACTTTACATTTTATGCAAAAGACAAGCAGAAAAGTGAATAACTGTAAAATAAAACACATTGTTTTGGTCCCACTTTTCCCTGATTCCCCTAAATAAAATCCACAAACAATAGTAATTACTAAATGAATACGAGCTCTGGGTTGGATGAGACCAAAACTGAACTTGCAAACCATCAGTGAGAGAAAAAAAACGAACAATCCACAACACCCTGAACGCAGCATCCCAATGGTAAGACACAAAGGTGGCAGCATTATGCTTTGGGGATCCTATAAAAAAAGCTGGTCAGAGTTAGAGTTGTAAATTGCTGCAGGTGAAATAAAGTATTGTTTTGTTTTAGCTTTTGGTATCTTTGCCAGTTTTATAACTGTGAAAGGTAAAGGCTGCAGTATTTTAGAAGATTTTGAACTTTCATTCTACTTCATTGGGTTTACCACATAAAACTTGCATTGAAAGGTCTTCTTCTAGGAATGATTTAAACTTTTAAGCAAAAAAACAAAAATACCTTTCTGGCTTTTGTTAACATCTGAACAACCCCAAAGCTCGTCATCTATCCTCCTCTTCCCATCACCCCCAGCGCCCCATGCCCAGTGGCACCAGCAGCATCAGGTCAGGAGGGCACGGTTCCAGAGGAGGCGCAGCGGCCAGCAAGCGTGGGTTACTAGCTGCGCCTAACGAGGTGATTAAAACGATAAGGGGAAGCACGGATGACTTGGCGTGGCCCGCAGCCACCGCCATGTTTACTGCCACCGCAGACAAACACGCTGTGAATGAGAGCAAAGTTCCAACCGTGGTGCCAGAAGGACCATATCAATGAAGGAAACAAGGGACGAAAGTGTGTGTGTGTGTGTGTGATGACGGACAGTTCGCCCTGGGCTCCGGCCGGGGTCCGTGTGACACAGAGAGACTCGCAGCGGGGTGTATTGGAGACATGTCAAGACCAGGAGACAGAGGCCTCCTGACAGCTGGAGCCCACGGACGGACGGACACACACACACACACACACACACACACACACACACACACACACACACACACACACACACACACACACACACACACACACACACACACTTCCTAATTGCTCCACAGATAGCAAAAGGGAAATGGGCTTGTGTTTGGTGGTCTGCATCACCCGGACCCCGCCTCAGTCCGCGAGGCTTTGGGCCAAAGACACGAAGGACACCTCCAAGGCTGTTTTGTTGGTGCCTGCTGCAATTACATCCCACAGCTGATGTAGTGAGAGTGGAGACAGGCAGCACACTGCAGGGTGGTGGAGTCACCAGAGGACGGCTAATGGTTGTTCTTTAGTCACGGTATTTACTCTATTCTCTGCCAAATTGCAGCAACTAAAGCTTGTTTAAGAAAACCTCACATATCATTCATAGAATCATTAGTAATTAATCTGCAGTATGAATGAAACTGGGGTAAAGGACGGGAAATATTCATGTTGTACATGTATATTAAAGTAACTGTCCCGTGTTCTGAGCTTTAAACCAACAGCACAACATACAATATGAGAAAGATGGGGTCTCTAAATGGACCCACATTTTTATTTTTGACAAATGTTTCCACAAGCAGCCTTTGTGACTCTATTTTATAGTATAATGCTGACACAGACTGTAGGAACCTGGTCCAGTTAGGGACAGGACTGGACATTAAGTCAAGATCACTATATGCTGTGATACACAAATATGGCCGCTCAGCCTCCGTATGTCTTGTTAAGTCGGTGACTTCAACTAACTCACTCACTCTTTGGTTAACTAGCAACTCACTCATTCTTTAACCGATCACCAATCTTTAAAAATTATTGGCCAATATAAATGTGTTTAGTCAGAGAAGTTGTTAAGTTGGCAAACATGGGGTGACCATAGTGACTGATTTATTGTGCACCTCTAATCCAAACTTTACTGTAAAATATGCAACACAAATCACTGGAAAAGTGTTAAAATATGACTAATATTTCAATAGTCTGCTTTATAGCACCAAACTATTTATGAATATTTACCAGAATTTCTAAAAAGAGGGAAATTAAATCCAAAAATGTTGTTTTGGATTTAATTTGGACTTAATCAGATCACCAACATAGCCTTGATTTAACATGCTGGAGTAAAACTGCAATGCACCGAGTTTCTAGCTGTTGTACTAAAACACTTTTCATTTCAGTTCTGAACACCTTTTACTTTTACCAAGTTCATCTGTCCAGTGTATAATTAAAGTTCACATGTAATTAAGATAATTGCACAATTACTAACTCTTAATACATCAAAAGGTTAAAAGGTGAAAAATGACATTTCAGCAGCAGAACACACACATGCACACACACAGATCCTGTACTTGCTTCATCTCTGGGGGTTTTATCAATTTTAGGGAGAACCATTTCTTTAAAAAGATCATCCTGCTCTCTCTTACTGTAGTTCCCATAATCAATCAGTGCTAGCAGACACACAGCAAGAACAGAGTTCAGTGATTTATAGTTATGATCATTCCTTCCTCAGCTTATATCACCAGCTGAGGCCTGATACTGGAGGTGGATTCACCGGAAATAACATGCTAATTTCAAAGTTGAGGGGAACATTACTTTCTAATCTGAGGGAACAAAAGGAGAAACTTTTTCTTGTGTCGGTGAACCTCATTTTCAAGAATCTGTCAACAAGACATCAGGAAGTGATGTAGCTCAGGTGAAGCGTCAGTGATGGAGTTATATCTCTAATCACTCAAAGCTCAGCAGCTGTCTGAGTCGCTTGTTACAACAACAAAAAAAACACCTTGAACTTGTGTGACATGCACCCACCTGTCACGCATCACACACACACACACGCTCAGCTTTGAACATTTGCAGGGAGCAGCAGGCTGGAGCTGTGAAATGGGAGGATTAGTCACTTTGTCAGGAGACGTATGAGGCCTCGCTCAGGTGGACGGCGAGCCACGGGGGGCATCTGCAACAGAGAGAGGGGCGAGGACAAATTAGACGACCAGAAGGAAAAGACAGAACAAAAAAAACACTTCAGAGACAAAAATGAAGACAGAGTGGGGTAAAGGACACGGAAACGAGACAGAAGAAGTTGTTGGGACTGATCATTTAGCCCCAGAAGCTCAGCGTTTGACAACGCTCTAACTCTTCTCACATTTGCATCGCTCACATCACTCTGACTCTCGCTCACATGCGGGGGAAACACTGCGGGGAGAGTGCGACCGCCAACTTCCCCGTGTGCAGAGGTCGCTTTGGATTTTTCCAGGGTGGCAAAACGGGCAGCGGGCCCGGATCCCGGCCCTTGGACGGGGGAAGAGGAAAGAGGGTTGCCGGCTGAAGCCTGAGCAGGAGGTGTGGCATCCAGAAAGTTGAGGGTCCCATGTGAGAATGTGGCCGTCGTCAGGCGCTGCCGTGGCAGGCCTCGGCACCATCTGTGCTCCCAGCAGGACGCCCAGCGCATTCGCCGCCACCCAGACGCATATGGACACACAAAGGTGCTCTCTTCCCCTCCCTCCCTCCCTCTCTCCTTGTGGATGTGCAGACACACACACACACACACGCACACACACACGCAGGGAGAAACACACTGGGGACAGCAGAGGGAGAGATGAGAAAGAGGATGATGAGTTTGTTGATTGCGCAGTGAACACATCGCGTCTTGATGATGATGCTGATGTAAGTGTGATGACTTCAGAGGCACCATTAGTCAGCAAACGAGCCAGCTGTGATTTGACATTCACATGAAATCACATGTTTAATTTCCATAAAGGACAGAAAGGTAGTGTTTGGAGCCTAAATGAAAACTACAAGCTGTTCTGCGGCTCAATTTTAGAAGCTAAGAATGGAATATGCCCTCTTCCTAAAGACGAAACTAAAGTCAACATGTATTTGCCTGAAGATTGAGGCCAAAGTTTATAGTTGGAGTTGCATCATAAATGCACTTCCTTTAAAGATGCTTGAAAAAGTTTTTATTATTTATATGAGAAGTTGGTGCCAAAAGGTGTATAAAAGCCAAGAGGCTGTTGGTCATGACTGAATTTTCCAGAGACGGTTGTAAAGGTACAATCACAACTTTTAAGGGACCCTAAAGAACAAATATGTTTGACTCTTGTCATCAGGTCTGACCTGATGATCCAACTGAAACCATTCAGAACAATGGGAGTAAATGCACTGGAGTGAATAGAAATCAGACTAAGACAGATTATTGAAGCAAGGCACTCAACTATTGTGTCCAACTAAATCAATGCAGATCTTGATAGACCAAATCAATCACCACTACAGAATTCATTCTTACATTCTGTGCAAATTTTACTCAGTTGTGAGCAGAAGAAACAACTTTTCTTTACTAATACTAGGTGATGCTATGACCTTCTCATCTTGGCATCACCATCTTGGTCTTCATGAACTTTGAACTCCCATTCAAAGTTTGCCATAACCCAAATAGTAAAGGCAGCAAACATATGTAAGAATGTGCTCTGATTGCCTGAGGTCCTATGATCCTTTGACCTATAGATTTACCCTGAACACACCGTCCTCACCATGAAACAGTGGTGTCAACATCATGCTGTTGGGGCTCTTTTCTTAAGCATCCCAACAGCTTCCCTAGACTTAATAAGAAGATGCAAGGAACTCAATAAAATACAAGGTTATTAATTGAGGAACACAGGTGAAAATCTGGAGAATGAAGTGAAGTTTCACCTTTCAGCGGGACAATGACTCGAAACAGAATCAGAGTTACGATGAAACGGTTTAAATCAGATCTAAACCCAACTGAGAATCTGTGCCAAGACTGAATGTGTTGGTCCACCACATAAAACTCTAACTAAACACACTAACATTTTGGTTTTAACATAACAAAATGAGAAAAGGTTTATGGGGCATGAATGCTTACTGATTGTGAAGTTTTCAGTTTAGTTCAGCAGAATGTGACAGTACCTGCTAGCCCAACCATTGACTTTCTTTCTATGGGATAATGTCTTCACCTGCTCATCTGGGCTCTTTGCACGAGCCAAAGGATCATCAATCCAGTTCTTGCCTCCATCTTTCATAATCTCTATTACACCCAGTTCTGCTCAGCTTCCTACAGCTCTTCCTCCAACCGGCTGACCCTCCTACTTTGGCCTCAGGCCCCCCTATGAAGATGCACCTGCCTCCTTCAAGGTGTTGGTGAGCTTTCCTCAGTCACCCACCTCTATCCTTCAAGCAACCTACTAACCCCATCTTCCTTTCTTTCTCTTCATCCCTCTGCCCCTCCATCTAGAGCCTCCAGCTGGCTGATGAGTTCATTAGCCCCACAGCTCAGCCAAGGAGCATGGCAGCATTTGGGCCAAACTGGGAGGCCAACGGGGGGCCCCTGGTGGCCAATGGGCACAGGCCTCGGTCGTTGGAGTGGAGTCAGAAAAGTCCCCCAAATGTCCCACATGTCGATATGTGGGCTCTGTTTATTCTTGGAACTCGTAGACTATTATTTCATACATTAGCAATCTGGTTTGGGACTCGACTCGCTCTGAAACTTCAGCGGTGAGAGCACAAGGCATTGCGGTTTGAAGGGGTCCACGCAAACAATGGGTGGAAACAGATTTCTAATAATCCCCACAGGTTGCAGTGACATCTGGCCCCACACTTGAGCGTTGGCTCAATTAATTCGGAAAACACAAAACAAAAAGCGCCAGGGGCAAAGATCTGGGGGACTTAGCAGAACGCTTTGTGTTTGTGTGTGTCTGAGTGTGTGTATTGATTATGGCATTTGATCAACTCAGCTGTGGTGTGCGAATCCAGCTCAAATTTATTGGGGTATACAGCTGCTTCTTTGCGTGGAGATTCTTGGGTAAAAACAAAAAGCTTAATCTGTTACATTTACTCCACTTCTACCTTTTCCTTCCTCCTCTTCCTCTCTCAGCAGCGGGTCATCTGGGGTCAGGGCCTCCGTGGCTGGGCTCAGGTGTAGCCTCAGCTGGGCAGGAGTGGGGGGGAGGAGGATGGCGAGAAGCGAGGAAGAGGGGAGGTGAGATGGAGAAAGTGGAGGCAGCTTAGGTGAACCATGAGGGAGTCCGTCAGAAAACGGGGAAACAAACATTTGTTCACGCAAATAAATAAAAAAGAGAAAGGGAAACAAACAAAAAAAAATCAGCTTTGTCTCTCACCCTGTTTTCAACACCTCCCCCCCTGGTGTTTTCTCCTCCCCTTTGCTGCCTCTCGCGCTCCTGTTCTCCTGGGAGCGGCCTGGCCGTGCTCGGCCTGAACGCCATCTGCTGCATAATGTACCGGGATGGAACTCCAAATCCTTCATTTCCACTCGCTGCCTGTCATCCTGGGCGTGCGCGCCCACTCCACTCGGCCGCACGCGTCACCGAGAAAAGGATGCGAATGCTTGGACGCGTGTGAGATCTCATTTTACGGATGTTGTGACATCAGCTCATCCAGAGACGATGCTGAGTGATGGCTTTGAAGCAGTAAAACTCGATGCCAAACGTGTGTGTGGTTTTGTGGTAAAAGGATTACTTCCCTGTTTTGGAGATGCCAGTCTGGTAGTTTTCAGTCTCCGCAGGGGGAACAAAACTCTGCTATGCATGCAGCCTGTTTGTCTTCGGTGATTCATTTCCAGAAGTAACAAAAGCTCTAAATGAATCACTTTTTAAAGCATGAACTCTGGGGAAATTGAGCCGAGAGTGGCACCTTGCCAGAGATGCCTCAAATTTGCTTTTTGTTTACAAGTTAACACACAAAAGTGCGCGGACAGAGTCGTGTTTAAGCACCCCGCCCCTCTCGGCATCGCTGGTAACCTGGAGGTGCAAAGAGTTGTCCCTCCAGGTCCCTGTGGGGCCACGGTGAATTGGGGGCCATCTGTTTTGTGGTAATAAGCTTTCCCTTCCTTCTGCTTCGGCTCATTCTCCCTTCTTCCTCTGTGCGTTTGAGTTTCTGAAAGGTTCCCCGTGTTTTCCATGTCTCGAGGCGTGCGTGAACACAAAGGTATGAGAGGACGCAATGCTTCTGGACACAGACACAAGCTCCACCAGTGAGCTAAAGAGAACAGAGGCATGGTGAAATATCACACGGTGAACCCTGAACCCTCAACCTCAGTCCATTGCTGCTGATTTAAAGAAAATGTGACACATCAGAACCTCACATGAACCCAAATGCCCATTGCCTCAAGCTACTGAAAAGCCAATAGGGTCTACACTTGAGATTTTCTTTTTCTACGCTTCCACACTTAAAGATAGACATACAAATATCTCAGCCACATGGGCAATGTGTGAAGAAACTGGTCAATCAGCTGAGACGTTGATTCTCTTTGGTTTTGTCTTGTTTGTTGTAGGATATCTAACATCAAAATTACACAGGTATCGCTAGCCACACTTAAATCAGATACTTTAACATCTACTTTGGTCTATGCATGTATCCATCTTTTAACTGATCCTGTTTATCAAACAAAAGTTCTAAGAAAAGCCAGTAGATTACATGCTTTTAGATTTGTGCAGTCTTGAAACAGCCAGTACATTTTGCTGGTCTCCAGGTTGAATGCAGAAGACTTTTCAGACAATTTAAACTGACAGCTCAGTAGGTGGAGCCATGTTACCTGTCTATCAATCCTCTCCAACTTACGAATGACACTGGAAAAACTGAACCTGAATGCAGTCTGTAAACGTTTGCTTTAGTGACCAAGAGTTGATGACAGACATGTTGGATTCCTGGTCATGTCAGATGGGAACAACCTTTCTGATACCTACATAAGGTAAGAAAACAACTCACCAATGTATTATGTAGCTAAAGTATGCCTGAAAACTTCAAAATAAAAAGATAAGATACAGATTCTCCAGTGGATGCTCGGGTTGTGTAATTAATTGGCTAAAAGGAGAACTTTTCAAACTGATGACCATGTGTGGAAGAAGACTGAAACAACGCAAAAGTCTTTGGAATCTGGTCACAAACTCCCATGCAAGGATCAACATTGGGAGAATCCTGTAC